TGAATAATGAGACAAATGTGTAATGGTTTAATCAAGCTCAACTCAGCTCTGTCAACACTAAGCAATCGATTGCACTGCTGTCTTTCTGTACTGCTTTAACCTGTAGCTATCTTCTTACTATGTGATATTAATGTTATTTCGTTTTGTTTTGTCTTTTTTACTAGCATCTCCCGTATTATAAGCCTCTATGTTGCATGTTTTTAATGATTTCATTACACTTTTTATTTTTTTAACAGGAAATGTTATGCTATGCTTGAAGTAATGTTTTTTTTGTGCCTCTACTGGAACATGTCTCCATGCTTTAATGTTCAAAAAGCTCTTTATTTTCCTCATACTGCCTGTCTTTTCACCCTCTGTCTGAAACCAGAGCCCAGTCTGCTCTGATTGGTTAGCTGGACGTCTCTGTTGTGATTGGTCAACCGCTTAGAGATGACCTGCCTCTTGGCCTATCACGTACATTTTGCTGAAGCACTAGCCAATAGAAGTGTGAGTTTGACATAGTGAGTCCAATGGAGGCTTTTAGACAGGGGTGAAGTGTGTGTGAGAGAAACTCCCTCTGGGGGGGACTTTGAGACTTGAGCCTTTGCAGACCATTTACATGCACTGACTTAAAACCTACATATACATAAATAATACTTATTTTTAAGGTTGACTTCACAACATCTGTCTAATGACTACAGAGGATATTTGCCTCGTGGGTTACTTGTCACATTTACAGAAATATCTAAATAAATTAATAAATACTAAACCGTCCTTGTTGGAGGAAGGGTGACTCTTTGTAGGATCTAGCATCACACCACACTTTTGCTGGGGTCCCATCCTGTAAATCCTCCTAACCTACAAATGGGAGGATTTGTTTAGGCCTGCAATGCCAGGCTGGACTGTTTTCCAGTCTTGAACACACACGCACACACAGAAAAACACACACACACACACTCATGCACAGCTAAATCCCTGGCAGTATAGGAGCTCATTACATTACAGAGACCCAATCCCTGATGGCTGTTTACAGCTGTCGCAAATGCTTCGTCCTGCACAACACCTGTCTGCAGCATGTAATCGTTAGCAGCCGTTTAACTCCCCGGCTTATATTGTCCAACGTTAGCCCAAAACAGAGTACTGTAAACTACGTGAACAGTGACACACACAGACAGACTGTACATACAACATGTACCAACACCTGGCAGTAGCATGCCATCTTTAACAGGCATTTTACACATCCCCCGGCCCACCTCTGCGCTGCAGCCAAACCACAGTGAGGTTATAAAGTGAACACAGCTGCAGTGGATCCTAACACACACACTTTTACACAGCGAGACACAGCTCAGGAGCTCAAGGCCACAGAAACAAAGTACCACCTTGGACAGTTAAACAAAACACTTTTGTTCACAAATGAAAACCTGGATTCATATATGACCATTAGCTTGTAGTGGCTAATGTTAGAATAGAATAGAATCCTGTATTGTCATTATACAGGTATACAATGAGATGAGTAGAGCTACTCCTTTTTTTAAGGTGCCATCAAAATACAAAAACCAACAAGAGACGTACAACACTCAGCAGGAGACAACATACAAACAAGCATTCATACTTCAATATTCAGATCAAGTTAAAGTGCAGGAATATATCAGTTTAAGTAAAATAAACATGTTTGAATATATATATATATATCAATTGTGTCTGTGCATGCTGGAGTTCAGTGCAATTATTGCTCTGGGGAAGAAACTACCACTTTAGACAGATACTGCGGTGTTAGTAATGTTATTGAGCCACCGAATGTTTGACTAATTGCTTCTTGAGCTATGCAACACTATATTTGACCATTTACTTTTATTATCACCTCTGCAAGGGAGATTTCAGTTTGGTTTGGTTGTTTGTCTGTTTCGCAGCAGATTTAGAAAAAGACATCCTGATTTTCATAAAACTTGAGAGGAGGAAGCATTGGCCAAGGGAAACAAATTAAAATGTTGGAGCTGATCAGAATTGCAGGGCGGACACACAAATTATTTCTCATTTAATGTAACCGGCCTTGGTGGGAGGTCGGTGATTTGCTTTCTGAAGCCGTTCTAGTTGTCATTATTTTTCTCACTTCTGGCTAACTGGTTGCCCTTTAGCTAAACTTACATTATCTTGCCTTAATCATTACTTAGATGATATGATTCTGCAATATCAATGTTTTTTCCCACATTCACCCAACCATGTTTAAACGATTTCATCACTCTCACTTGAGAAATGATTTGAGGTCTTGGCTTTAAAAATCAAGTATTATTTTTCTTTATAATTAATGTGTGCGGTCCCTCCCCTTTAATCACATATTGTAAACTTTACTGACTTGGTAAGCTTTACGAAGGCTGAGAGGCATATTTGCTTTGGCTTCTAAAGGTTGGCCTCGAAATTGTTCGCCGGGTCTGGCATGAAAAGTGTTTTCCAGACTAGATTATCCAAGAGATAATTGGACAAGTTCCTCTCGGGCCATTAAGGGCCGACTATTTTTACAGCAAGAAGTCAAGTTTAACCATTTATCAAACGAGAACTTGGTCAATTTCAGCTGTGATTAATTATTTAAAAAGCCCGATGGAAAACATTGTTAATGTCAAGATAAATTGAGCAGACTGGTAAAATATAAGAGTGAAACATTAAGTTAAGGATTGGAAATGCATCAGGGCCACAGAGTGATGACTCCTTTAAGATGATGATTGGATCCATTTTCTGTAATCGTTCCAGTGTCACCACAGCAATCACCGCACAAGATTTTAGCAGAGATTCCACGAATGTGACACATATGGTATTCCTAATTAAAGGGGACACTTTATCAGTGCTTTAGAACACATATGTGGGTATCTGGAGTGCATACCAATCTACAGAGTGGGAAATATGACAACCCAGTCAGTTTTTGTTGGCTGTTCAAAAAGTCATTTAGGTCTGGCTCCTCTTCCTAAGTCGCTTGCAGGCCAATTAGAAATGAACGTGTCCCATCTGAGTATCCCGACCAACATCCTAAAAAATTACCGTTGAGTGTTCAAGAGACATACAGGAAAACAAAGCATTTCAGGGGCAGAGAAACATTTTTTTATCTAATAGAAACCCAAAATGTAAGTATGAACCTGAAATGGGTGTAATAAGTCCGCTGCAAAAAACATCACTTCCTGCTCCCCTCTATGCATTTTTCAACTTCCCTTCCACATTAGTTGCAGCTAGCCAAGGAGTGGTAAATGCAGTGAAAGTGGACGTTTTTCTCACACTCTAAAAAAGCACAAGACAAACAGAGGAGAAGACGGAGTGAGAACATGTTCCTCAACTCACTAAAGGTCAGACATGAGCAAGTCATCAACTGTTGTGCTGGAGACCAACGCCAGAAACAACACAGAGGTTGCTGAGAGTCACGGCATGGCTCTAACTTTGTGACGGAGCCTGGCGATTCGGACAAGCAGAAAGTAACAAAGAATCAGATAATCAGAAACACAGGCTAATAATCCAGCCTAGGGTCCTTAACAGGACTCTCCCACTGAAAACAAGACAAGCACGGACAAAAGCTTTTAGGAGAGATCTCGAGTTTCTAAAAACAACACAACTTCTTTAATTGAGTTTTTATTAGACCCAAGAGATATTAGTGCACAAGGAAGCGATAACTGAAGATCAGGAAGCTGTGTGCTAACGTTGCATGTTTTGATGTCTGTCCTGACATCACCCCTGATTGCAACACAGTGTCCTTCTATGACACCATTCACAGTCTGCACAACAAATAAATGACGTGCATCTTTCCAATGAAGCTCATCTGTGGGTGGTTTAAGGCTTTGTGAAAGTCAAAGAGGCTGAGACTGTTGATACTGTACTAATCATGACAACCAAATTCATTTAAGATCACATTTTTTATATTCAACTACCAAGCAGCGGTTTGCGTGTTGACAACATGGCCAAATACTTCAATGTAATGTTGTATATTTTGGCCTCATTTGTGTCTTCCCAGGCTGGCATGGCCCATGAAGTTTCATATATTTTCCTTCAGTATGGAAAAATCGTCACCATCTCAAATAATAAAAAGCACTTTATTTTTATAGTTTCACGCAGAATTTAAAAGTAATGGTTTGTGAAATTAAAATAAATACTAAAAATGGGGAAAGATGAGTGATTTTATGACGAGCAGGTTCCAGTCCAAGTGTGAACATGGTAACCACAAAATCATAGTTACAAAGGGCAAGTGCGCGCACGCCCATGGAGCAACTAAAGCGACTGCAGGCAAGTCCCCGCATGTCAAAGCAGACACATGGAGACACTTGAATGTACTATGTCGTCTTATGAAGGAGTATGACCTTCAAAAGATCTGGTAAGCAACTAAATCTGGTGACCTACAAATACAATATATCAAGGATGTCAAGAATGCTGTGTTTGAGCAATCAGATCTCCATTTCAATCTGGGTCTGGGAACGTGACACTACTTCATCTACTGATTGGCTTTCTTTGTGAACAACATCCCATTTGTGCAACCAAAGGGAAACATGGAGTACCGCCCAATGATTGTGGATGTAACCGATCAAGCTAATCTGAGTGGCCTGGAAACATCTCAAGATCTGATCAAATAAAAGGTTTATGTCACGGGGCTAGTGGACATATAAAGAGAGATGTATGGAACCGTCTGGAGCCAGAGCCCAGTCTGCTCTGATTGGTTAGCTGGCCGGCTCTGTTGTGATTTTGTCAACTGCTTAGAGATGTCCCGCCCCTTAGCCTATCACAAACAATGTGTTGGAGCTCTAGCCAATAGAAGCGCAAGTGATACATAATAATGTCATTATGTTACACAAGTAAACAAAGGAGTCCAATGGAGGTGTTTCAGGCAGCGGGGGAGTGTGTGAGAGAAACTCCCTCTGGAGGGAACTTTGAATTTTAGCCTTTGCAGACCATTTACATGCACTAAAACCTCTCTCATGTACACCCCCCTGTGGTAATACCACAGTGCAGCTCAACAAGTAGGAAGAGTAAAGAGATAAAGAGTTTGGACTCACATCATCATCTGAGGAAGGGGAGCGAAGCGTGAGTGAGACCGACGGAGGAGCAGCGAGGGGGAAGGGCCTGTCCTGGGTGAGCGTTGGCATGGCGACCACATTGGCGGTGATGGCCCCTGCTGTCTGGATCTGAAGCACCTGGGTTGGCTGAGATAGCACTATGGGACGTCCTGAGAAAGAGAACGCAACACACAGGTCTTAGCCATACTATAACCATATTTTGACTGTGTGATTACCACTGAAAAACTCTGACTGTGTTTATGTGTGTCAGTTTGTTTTCATGTTTATGTTCTTATCCCACATTCGTTTTGCCATCTTCTACAAACACATTCAACCTGATATTCTATGCAATCTGGAATCAACATCAGTGTGCCTGAGAAAGACCCTCCTGCAGCAGATGGTACAGTCCTGCTCCTTAAACTCCCCTCACAACTGGTGACCTACATTAACCCCTTGTCTTTAACGGGAATCTCTGTGTTTAAAGTACAGGTGGAAAAGATGTTTACCATCGTGACCTATGGTCTTGAACTTCCACATTCCAAACTGAGAGGTGTGCGAGGTTTATGTGTAGGAACACGCATAAACCTGTGTGCTGACACACATTCAAAATGGATTATGGTGTAAAAGAAAAAAAGCAGCACCTTCAAAAACATGATATTCTCCATGTTTATAAATGTGCTGTTAATGCAGGAGCCTACCAGAGTGTAACCCACCAGTGAGATTGTGCCAGGAACCATTCCTCAAACGGACCCAGCGACTGCTAACACTAAACAACCCGTCATTACTAATCGTTAGCCAGACTTGCTAATGAAAGTGTGGTGCCAACAAACAGGCTCAACATCTGTAAGAAACATTTATGAGAATGAAATTAAAAGAAATGTAATACCTCAGGAACACCTGTCTGTTTTTAGAAATACCGGTCAAACTCAATAAAATGTAGCTCATCAGTAAATACCTCCAATGTCTTTCCTCCATCTGCCAGTATAAAGCCCAGAGCTCACTCCTCCGCTGTGAATATTTCAGAGATCTTAAATCATGGAGACTCGTAACACTGAGCCGGCTTGACTTCCAGCCGGGGCCCTAAACTTGGATAACTTGGCTTAAGCTATCTGCCATCTTGGCCCTTACCAGGATGACAGTTGAGCCAAGTTCAAACTCAAGTGGAGGGAGGTCAGATGCTCCACCCTCCTGGGTCCCAGGCAGTGACATAAGTATTTACGTTGGCCTAAGTGCTGCTGATGTAACCAGATTGGTTAACTGGGGAGACTAAACCACAAAAACTAAATAATTGTTTTTTTTTATCCTTTCATGAACAAATTACCATAATAGCTCATGAATAGTGTTTGGTTTCAATGTGGGTTATAAAAACAAACGTTCTCGCTTGTTTATCTATAAAGGCTGATTCCCAGCATTGTATTATTTCTCAACCGTAGCCCAAATGTAAACATATTTTGTTTAAAAAAGAAGAATTATACGCTTTTAACGTTTGATTTACTTGTTATAATTTAACCTTTAATGATTGCAGCATGGAACAGTGATGACTGAAGCTCACTGATGAGAATAAACTAAGGTTAAAGCACCATCTGCTGGCCAACACACTACAATTTAAATGATTGTCTAAGCAAGAATGACAACAAAACTCATCAGACACAAACAAACAGTACTTATAATAGGTTGTCTTTCAATTGAAATGACTCTAATTAGAGAACAACACATTGCTTGGTCACAATTCCAGTGCCGTGATCTGATGCAATACAGTGTGAAGTGATGCAACGTGTCTCTGTGTGTTGCAGTGAGAGCTCTGACCTGGAGGGGGCGCTGGTTGGATGCAGATCGGAGCTTGTTTGATGACAGGCAGCACAGTGGTTTGCAGGGGCTGGATGATGATTGTCTTTGTCTGCAGGGGGGCAGCATGAGCGAGGGGCACAGCTGTAATCAGGGGCTTCGGCTGGATAGAAACCTTTGGGCCAATCTGAATCGGCCTCTTGATTGGCTGAGCTTGTCTGGCTGTTATGTGGATGGGGGGGGTTGGGTGGAGTGAGAAGAGGAAACAGTATTCAGGTTAATACAAGCAGAAGTGGGAAGTAGTGGAGTACAAAAACGTTGTTACTGTACTTAAGTACATTTTTCTGGTATCAGTACTTTACTCCACTACTTATTTTTCTGACGACTTTTTACTTTTACTTACATGTTGAACACAAATACCTGTACTTTCTACTTCTTACATGTTGAACCCAAATACCTGTACTTTCTACTTCTTACATGTTGAACCCAAATACCTGTACTTTCTACTTCTTACATGTTGAACACAAATACCTGTACTTTCTACTTCTTACATGTTGAACACAAATACCTGTACTTTCTACTTCTCACATGTTGAACACAAATACCTGTACTTTCTACTTCTTACATGTTGAACACAAATACCTGAACTTTCTACTTCTTACATGTTGAACACAAATACCTGTACTTTCTACTTCTTACATGTTGAACCCAAATACCTGTACTTTCTACTTCTTACATGTTGAACTCAAATACCTGTACTTTCTACTTCTTACATGTTGAACACAAATACCTGTACTTTCTACTTCTTACATGTTGAACACAAATACCTGTACTTTCTACTTCTTACATGTTGAACACAAATACCTGTACTTTCTACTTCTTACATGTTTAACACAAATACCTGTACTTTCTACTTCTTACATGTTGAACACAAATACCTGTACTTTCTACTTCTTACATGTTGAACACAAATACCTGTACTTTCTACTTCTTACATGTTGAACTCAAATACCTGAACTTTCTACTTCTTACATGTTGAACTCAAATACCTGAACTTTCTACTTCTTACATGTTGAACACAAATACCTGAACTTTCTACTTCTTACATGTTGAACTCAAATACCTGTACTTTCTACTTCTTACATGTTGAACTCAAATACCTGAACTTTCTACTTCTTACATGTTGAACTCAAATACCTGAACTTTCTACTTCTTACATGTTGAACTCAAATACCTGAACTTTCTACTTCTTACATGTTGAACACAAATACCTGAACTTTCTACTTCTTACATGTTGAACTCAAATACCTGAACTTTCTACTTCTTACATGTTGAACCCAAATACCTGTACTTTCTACTTCTTACATGTTGAACCCAAATACCTGTACTTTCTACTTCTTACATTTTCCAAACAGCTGGTTCCTTTAGTCTGAATGTGTGTTTGGTGCGTGATCATTATTATGTAGAGTCATTGCGTGCCTATTGATTTGAACACGATCCGTGTATCCATCACTTCCTGGTCTTCTCTAAAGAAGAGGGACCAATGAAAACGTTGTCATGTTGCCGTTGTTCAGCATGGAAACATTCATTAGCTAACAATGACATTATTGTTCTATTAATATAAAGGGAGCCAGGTACTCTTTAAAACAGCTGGTAGTTATGGGTACTTTTTACTTAAGTACATTTCAAAGCCCTCTTTACTTTTACTTGAGTAAAGAAGTTTAGTCAGCACTTCTACTTTTACCAGAGTATTTTTAAAACGAGTATCTGTACTTCTACTTGAGTAAAGGATGTGTGTACTTTGCCATCTCTGAATACAAGGAAAGGCTCTGTTAGCTTAACCCTAAGCTCAGGTGAAGAAATGTGTATTTTTAGGAGCTAGTTCTTTTCCAACATTTGCCAGTATGTTTTTACTGAGAGAGACGAGTTCTTCTTTGTTCGTTTGGTTGATTGCATCCCAGAATGGTAAAAGTCCAGAGGTCAAAAATCCCCACTGGATTTTAAACAAAGCGTAGAAACATATTTGACAGCTGCTGAGCGAGCAGATGTTTGGTGGTGGAGCTGCCTCACCTCGCGCCGTCTGGCTGTTCCTCTTCGGAGCTTTCTTAGCTGGAGGAGAGTTTACAGAATAGCTGCTGGACTCTGAGCAGAAGGAAACAGGAGAGAGCTGAGATTGTGGAGATAGAGCCTCGTCCTGGAGGGGAAACAGAGAAGATTGCTGTCTATTAGATATTGGACCTCTTTTTTCGAGACATCAGATGTGAAAAAAAGCATGGTTGTAATCCTGTGGCAACGTCATGTTAACCCCTTTAACAGTAGCACTGAATCATTTCAAATCAATGTCTAATGGCAACCACTTAAGACATAAATAATTACAAAAGGATTTCTGTTTTTTGTGGGAAATCGTAATATTTGCAACATTAATCTCATTTGGATTTAAAATAATATACAAATGATCATGGTATTATTGTTGCGAGGATCTGTACCATACACAAAGGTGTTTCAAGGTGTAGAATAACATTTTAGGCCAGGACATCTTTGCAGCAGCACAATACTTTGTTCAGAATGGCAAAATTGACGAAATTGCACCTCCTTAGATTTGGATATTGCACCTGTCCATATTGACAATTTGATACAATTCTGATAACTTCATCAACCCTTATACAAAGTTGAATTATTATGACTTCTGCTGCTCAAAAATGCACATTTGTAAGCTGTGTCAGTTTTTGCACAAGGGCCTAATATTGTCATCCAACAGGCTTCTAATAAACACATTAAGTCATAGTAGCTTTTGGGTCATGATGCTAGCCTGCAGTTGTCATTACTCATCAACAACCTTCCCAAGAAAGTAGAGAGCCCTGTCTGACAAAATATGATATGATTGCTGTCACATCAGATGAAATATGACTCTAGTGTCCTTGTCAGTATTCAAAGACTCCAGTAGACACATGTGTCCTTGGATTCAGTCAGGGTGATACAGTAACAGAGTATTGGTGCACACAGTGTTGGGGCTAGACAAAGATGTAACCCCTGTCCTTGTTTTGACATTGTGAAAACATCTGCCTGCTAAATTATGCTAATATAGCTAAAGTTGTCAGCACCTCATATTTAACGAAGGGGCGGGGCAGCGCTCAGGCAGGCGGCAAATTATTAACTTGACAAGGTGTTTAAGGCTTTTGTTAATAAGTGTCTAAAGTGTGTATCCAAAAGTGAAGAGCAGCTGTTAATGTTTGGACACCATCTGGATGGAGCTTTTACTTGTCCCAACTGTGCACCAAGAGGGGAGCATATTTAAATACCCACAGCCGATAACAATGGTACACATTTGCATTGGAAATACAAGTCAAATACCCAAAAAACCGAGGAGGTCACAGTGTTGAAGACAGTGACTTACTTGTAGGAAGTATGGGGACAGGGCCTCCACAGAGCCAGGGGAGGGGGCGGAGCTCAGAGTGTGAGCAGGTGACAGAGAGTCCACGCTCACCTCACCATCTGGATGCACAAGGACAAAGACGACAACAAATCTGTCACATATAGAGGCTTATCTTCTTTGGCAGAAAGGATTTACTATCACTGTTTATTTCCACACATACATTCAACGATAAACCCTTTCTATATCCTTTGGTTTATTTAGCATAAACCACTGTGTCCAATTTGTTCACACTTCAGGCTTTCAACATCTTTTAACTTTTAAATCCAAGCACTTTCAAGAAAAACTAAACTAAAAATGACTCAGGTCATCAAAGCCTTCATCCTCACATTAAAATGGTAACTATAAATGCAAGTTGTCAGAATTACTTTATATCCACTTCAATCTATCACACTCCCACACATGCACACAAACACAGGAGACAAGTAGCCTAAAGAAGTTCATCTTCACCATGTGATCAAGACTGTCATAGCAAATCAAATCATGAAGCAGCCATGCAAACATTAAATGTGTGGGGGAAACTTCTGAAGCAATTGGAAACAGGACTCAGAGACACGAGGAGAGCTGGAGCTTTGATGTCAAACACTGATGGTTTATTTGGAGTTACGGCCGGAGAATTGACAAGACAGGTCGTGTGTCACGAGTTGACACAGCGGTTGTCAAACCAATTCTGAAGAACTCTTTCTGTAGCTCGAGGTTTTAACTAGTTCGGAGTGTAATAATCAACATTCTTTATCAGTGAGACTAAACAATGATGGACCCTGAATCTAACTAGAGCTCTCGTCCATATGAAAGAATGTGCGCCAGGGAACCTACGTCCCTGAACAGTAAAGTACCTCGTGGCGGCTTGTGCTCTATCATAGACTGGCAACAACAATGCGCCCAAGCTGCTCCTCCTTAAAGATCAAATGCAAAGCTTCCAAATATGCTACATTTTTATAGAAATGTTGTTTTTAAGACTGTCTGTATTTTTTATTTAATTTAAATCAAGATAATACACCCGAAAAAAAAGCTTTTTATTGATACAAAACTCGACCCAAAGCCGTCTGAATTTCTGACATGTCATTCCCAGCAGCCTCCGTGCGCGTGACGTCCTTTTGTACAAACAGTCTCTGGGCCAAATATCCCGACTCGGCAGTCTCCTGCGCTGTTCACATGTCAGCGGTGTTTTTCGCTCATGACTGGTGCAGAAAACTCTGAATTATATCCGCGAAATCACGCAAAACATGGGTTATTGTTGTGCTTTCGGATGTACGAACGGTGCGGGATCTGGGAGAAGTTTTCCACCACCCCGCCCTTGTGGGCGAGATTTGTCAATGTATGTGAATCCTGCTGGGGTGATTTGATTTAAACTAAAATAGTCCAGGGTTTTTTGCCATGTTTCGGTCAGATACAGAAAGTCCAGGTTATTGTCTTTAATGAATTCATTCAGAATGTGGCTTTTATTGTGGATGGAGCGTGTGTTGAGCAGGGCTGCTCTGAGGTGACGTTGCATTGGGGGGGGGGGGGTTGTGTGGACCGGGGGGGGGGGGGGGGGAGATTGGTCAGATTCACGTGTTGTTTGTTGTGATGGCGTAGTGTGGGCGTGTGACAGGACCGAATGGTCGGGATGGAGTGTGGCGACGTGGAATTAAATAAAAACGTCCGGCCAGAGCGGCAGAGCCTCCGTGTGGAGGACGGCGTTTGCGGAGTATTTCATTATCTGCGAGGATGTCCATGCAGTCCGGACGCAGGCGGTTATTAAAGGAGTGGAGATCTGACAGGGAGTAGAGCGGCGGCATGATCCGATGAAGTGGCGCTAGCACGGAGCTAGCTAATGCTGGGGACCCGGGCAGCAGAGACCAGGAGCCGGATGACCGTGGAAGAAGGAGCGGTGTGAGTCCAGATAAAATGAGAATTATAATCCACAGCATATCAGGAGAATCATTCCAGTGGTTTCCAGAGGAGAATCGTAGGAGGGGCTGACAGCCTGGTGCAGAGTGGGAGCCGGGTGACCAGCCTACTAGCTAGTTAGCTAGCTTGATAGTCACCGGCTGTAGGCGGCAGGGAGAGACGATGTCAGCGGGGAAGCCGGCTGATCGCAGCGGGATGGGAAGACCCACACGAGCCGTGGAGTTAGGGTGGAGTTGGGGTGGAGACAGAAATGTTAGCTCAGCAGACTTCAGGGAGCCGAGGAGCATCTAGGTAGCAGCCTGCTAGGTCCGATAATGCTAGCTAGCTAGCGGGCTAGGGACCGGTGAGCAGGAAAGAGCCAGCAGGTAGGAGATGACAACACAAATATCTGTCTCGATTCGATATAGAGATGCTGCTATTTTTGCTGATGACTGACGTTTCAAAAGTAGAGAGCCAGACAGGAGAGGTTCTGATCTGGACTAAAGAACAATATTTGGGGCGGAGGAGCGGCGAACAAACAACGCCAGCACCCTCGGCGACCCGGGAAAAATAATCACCTACAATCAAGTCAAAATACTTTAGTGGTACTTTAGTGGTTGGATGTCGACAACATACTCCAGATCTTGGGTGGCCTCCGACTCAGAATCAGACATGATAACGAAACTAAGTTGTACTATCGGCGGAAGCAGCTGTGAGCGATAAACCAGGTGGAAATATGTTTGTACACTCTGACGTCACGCGCAGCGCCATCTTGCGGAGACGAGCGTATTTAATGGCTGAGAAATAAATCGTCGGACTTGGTGTTGGGGGTTGACTATATACAGTCTATGGGTTGAACAAAATAAATATTACGCATTGCCAGAAGCATATTATCTCCGATTTTAATACTGCAATATCTTAGATAGTGTTGTAGCTATATGATTTCGATTTTACTGGCAATTATAAAAAAATCTTTGCATTTGATCTTTAAGAGAGAGCAATACCCAAGGCCGTAGATCAGTGTTTCTCAAAGTGTGGTTCGCGGACCACTGGTGGTCCGTGACCGCCCCCTAGTGGTCCGTGAGTATATTGGTAACATTTCATATTGGAAATTAATTAAAGTTTTCAGCACTCGCGGGAATATCTCTGCAATGGAGAGCTTAACTTTAACTTTCGATTGCATGATATAGCCCAGCGCAACACCTTCATCAAACATGTTGCCACTTGTTTGTACCATTTTCAGGCGATTTGTAATCTGTTCTAGAAAAACGATGTGATTTTGGATATTTGTGGAGTTAGGTGGTCCGCAAGTGTTTTTTTATTGGTTAAGTGGTCCTTGGTGTGAAAACGTTTGAGAAACACTGCTGTAGACCTATGCCGTGGGAAAGGAGACAGTGAGAAGAGTAACCCTAACCCTGATGAACTGTGTCGAAGGTTGAATACCTAATTAAATTATTCCCTAACAAAATGTACAAATGAAAGTCACTTGTTTTGTTTCCTTATATTTCGCACAAATTAAAAGGCAATATAGAACTGCTCTTTCCCAAATGTAGATAATTAGATTTTTTTTTATTGTAATATTGAGTTAAAAACAAATGCTTTCAATAATTGGTCTATTGGTTATACTTAATGCTTCAAGCTTCAGAAAACAAAAGTTTACCTAAGAATATTCTATCAGCCAAATCACATTACACGGGTTACATCATGGAAAATATATATGAGATGGACATTGGAAAGTTCAGACTTTTCTTATTTTATGCTGAAAGGTGATAACCATGTCTTCACAGATGTCAACATGTACCTGTGCAGCTGCTCCCGTCAACTTCCTTCCACGGCAGTATGTCGATGTCAAAGTCCAGGTCTGAACCCTCATTGGCCTGAGACATCAAAGAAACACTTTTAAAACAAAAGACTGGCAGATTGGGAAAAGATGTCTGACTAATGTGCATATAATAATAATAATAATCATAATAAATACCGCAATAAACCGTATTTGATTTTGTATTAATTTTAGGGCTGTCAGTCGATTAAAATATTTAATCGCGATTAATCGCATGATTGTCCACAGTTAATCGCAAATTAATCGCACATTTTTTATCTGTTCTAAATGTACCTTAGAGGAATATTTTTCAAGTTTTTAATACTCTTATCAACATATGAGTGGACAAATATGCTTTATGCTAATGTTTATTATCATTTGAACAATGACAAATATTCTCATGAATATTAAACAACCTCTGAACATTACAAATATTCGCCTCAATTCAACCTGGAACCTCTCTCATACAATAATACAACACAAATGGTGTGTGTGTGTGCGCGTGTGAGTGTGTGTGATGGATCGTTGGAGCTATGTGCAACTCAAGGCATATGCTCGAACGGGAGCTGCCTGGACGCTGCAATCATGTTGCGCACTATCCGTGCTGAGTGTGCTGACTTTTCGTACAATGTCCCACTGTCTGGCTTCCTGCATAAAGTCAAGTGCTCGGCGCAGTTGTGGCGAAATGTCGCTCCTCTGTTTTCATTTAAACAGCTCCATATCCGTTAGCGCAGCTAGCTAGCACCAGATGCTAACAACAACAATGCACGTAAGGTCTCTCTCTCGCTCGCTCGGGCCACACATACACACACCCTCCCGGTCCTCCCAACAGCCAGTCGGTGCCTGCCGGTGAGCGTGGAAGTGTGGTCTGCTGCAAGCAGGCAGCAGGAGCGGGGCTGTCAGCATCAGCTTGTAGATGGTATTTTAAACTCGATGCGCTCTGAAACTACAGGGCGGCCGAGGAAAAAAAATACACATGCGTTAATCGCGTTAATATAATTAGTGGCGTAATTTTTTTTTTGCGTTATTAACGCGTTAACTTGACAGCCCTAATTCATTTACATTATTTAATTTCATATTCTCATCTTGTACATATCCCATATTCTATTTACATGTATATAGACTTTTTGCACTACTTTTTTTTTAATTTATTTGTTTATTATATATGTTGCATTGTTGGAGGAGCTCAGGTCAGAATAATGTCATTGCCATTTCTACACTGTAGCTTTGTGCATATGACAATAAAACCTTTGAATAATCACTATATATGTTGTTGTTCACTGAGCCATGCATTTGTGACAATTGCAGAAACAGGGACCATTGCCAAGAATTCCTGTTCGTCTCTTAAGTATTCCTGAGTACACCTGACACCTACAACGTAAAACATACTGTTGTTCCTGTATCACATTACCTTACATAATATCATGTTTTATAATGTAAGCTAATAGTGCACCTGCAGCTGTGGCTCTCACGGACGGTTAATAACCACCATTATTTGAGTTTCAGGTTGACAAATACATTTGCATACTGAGAGGAAGAACTACTCACATAGCTGCCATGCTCCAGGGCCTGAAGCAGCTCTTCTGCATCTCCCATGTAGTCGAGCTCATCAAACAGGCTAATGTCTGTGGAACAACAAGCATGAAACATCTAGTCAAAATGCGGTCACACAGATAAACAGACAAATCATGGCTTTAGATTTCACATATCATGATTTATCCCAGCAACAATGATATGCACTCATATATATGTCTGATTAAAACAAATATCCAATGTGGGTATGAACTGGCAAATAAGGATAGTGTATAGTAATTGACGCTGTTTCTACGTAGTTGTGTAACTGTGGGCATTGTGTCCATAATACATGTTTATTTTTAAAGTCGATGCTGATCAAAACGACCAATTTTAACAATTTCAATGTCCGATAGTTCACATGATGCAACTGTCTTTTACTTAAATAATAAAAACTGAACACAAATAGTTTCTGTAAAATAAATGCTAGGGGAAAATGTAAATAATAAATGTCATGCTCAAATGTTTCTGGCCTATTATTGATAATCAGTCGCTGGTTAATTTGGAGCTGTGGGTCGCCAGTTCAACATGTCGAATGAGATTGGGGGCAAAAATAAATCCTTCGGGTTGGCTGCTCAGCTTCGAAAAACAGCGGCCTAGCTTCAGACAAGGGGCTGACGCAAAGAGAAGATGGCAAACACTATTTTCATTAGACAACTTTATGTCGTATGATAATTGGGTGCCACTTTACAATAAGACTACCCTTATAAAGGGTTTATGAATAGTTTGTAATTCATTTATTAATTAGGTTGTGAATACTTTATAAATCATTAAAAAGCTTATATATGACATGAGATAAACAGGGCAACTGTGACCGGTTGCTTGCCAAATAGTGAGCCCACATCTATATGTACTGCTAAGTCTTATATTGGCTACTTAGCTTACTTCGTCTTCTTCATTAACCAGCATCCTTGGTATATGTTGTTCACTGAGTTGATTCTCGCTAAGTAGTCAATATAAGGCTTAGTCATCTTGCCAAATAGTGAGCCTGTGTTGATGTTAGAACTGGTTTATAAATGGTTCTTAATGATTAATAAAGTGTTTACAACCTAATTCATATCCTAATTATAACCCCTTTATGAATCCTTTATAAAGGGTAGTCTTATTGTAAAGTGGTACCCGATAATTCTAACTGTCGGATATTAGGCTAATTGGTAAGTTAGAATCATAAGAACCACTAAATTCTACTATTTATGTATCAAGTCTACATAATGCCGCCGCCTGGTGGCATCTATCATTTTTAGATTAAACCACGCCCACGTCTGCATTAGCGTAGCTTTGCACTACTGCGTCACGGGTGTATAAAGAGAACGCAAATAAAAGAAAAATAATAATAAAGGAAAATAAAATAAATAAATTTTTTATAATAATAATTGAACAAATAACATATTTTAAAAATATATATTATATATTAATATTGAACGATTAATCAACATTTATTCAGCTATGCATAACTGTGTTCTTATCTCACATTTAGAAGCGACTGTAGCTGTTAAATTAATCTTCCGTAGGAAAACGCAATCGTCAAGCGGAAGTGGGCGTGGTTAAATCAAAACTGGGTCGGAAAAACTACAGACGCGGCCTGGTGTTACGGAAAGTTATTTCCTGCCACGCATGCACAGAACATATGTGATATTTGTAGGTTGGCAGCCTTCACACTGGAAAAATAAGAAACTGTAAATGTATGCAATCATTTATGGCATTCATAATTAATATCTAATTCTTAACTGTAAATTGTTTTAATTTATTTAACATTAGAAATGTATTAGTCTGGCCAAACTTTTTCTGTTGAGATTCCCGGAAAAGGGAAATTACTTTCCATAAAAAAAGTTACAAGAACACATTTCTGTTGGGAGGGTTATGCGCCATCAGTACGGACGTCAAATGTCCTGTTTGCCGTACGTAGCTGTCCAATATTGGACAGCCATACAGGACGGCTTGCGCAGTGCAAATCGGGGATACATGCAAGTCGGGTGGTCACAGTTGTACTGGTTCAAATCCTGGTTAAAAATTCGAATGTTGTGCTCGGTCAAAACTTGTTATTTTATGCATCAGCACCTTGTATCTAAAGTGTATGGTCAGGAGGACCTTAGGCATTTTCACTGTGTGTATTATGTCTAGGCGTATTGCTGGTTATTTTTTCACAAAACAACCAAACCCAGCAGGTCTCATCCATCAACATACTACAGCGAACGTAGCTAAGCTCAATGCTATCTGTAGCTAAGACTCAAAGCACATGATAACAAGACATCTCTTCACGTATGTAAATACAGTCTATGGTAAGTACGAGCGTTGCAACTTGTCATAATATGTAAACTAAATGCACCTTTATGTATACTAATAAATATATCTGATTTGGTTACCTAAATGTTGTTAAACTCTGCTTCACTCTATGGGTCTGTCTTGTCTGTCTATGTCACCTGACGTCAATTTAACCATGTTAAATACACTACCTATAGTAGCCTACTATAACAGTCACCTTTAGCTTGTTTGCATGATAAAAACCACAGCAATATCGGTATACCTTTAAAACAGTACAGTATACTTTTACAGCCCTACAGTACATGTTATTATAAAAGACAAATAAAACCGTAAACAATGCTAGAAATTCAAAAACACCACCTGAAAAATACAACTCACAGCCCTGCCATGTACATGAAATCAATTAATACAACCACATTTATCAAACAAATAAAAAGCCAAAAATGGGTTTTTAGACTTTGTGTCTGTTTAAAGCCTAATTAATGGTTATTATTTACATTACAGATCAGGCTCAGCAGGTTAAATCAGCACATAATTTCCTCATTTACTACAGCTAGCTAACGAAATGCTAACTGTATTTGCTATGACATGAAGTGGATGTAAACAGTACAACATCAACCTTCCGCCAATTTACGAGTGTCTTTTTAACGGCAACCTTGTCACAAGAAACAGTTAAGAGTCATATATATTTATATTTATTATGTATATCTGATCTGTTACCTCAATTAAAAGCTAGCTAACGCTTCTTTCCTGTTTGGGTTAACTTACCCCACTCTCCTCCCTGGTCGATAGACATTATCCCTGTTTCACTATCCATCCCGGGGTCTTTTTGAAGATTTTCTAAGTATAACGCCAAGTTGGTTGACATCCTGTTTACAATGCATGAGTCTATTGTCTCAGAAAAACAAGCGACGGCTCATAGGAATGATTCATGTTGCAGCTGTTAGAAGAGGAAATGTCCTGATAGATACACGTCTGACTTAACCGTAAATCTACGGGTGCCACCGAGGGACAAAAGTGCGAAACCACAGTGTTGGGAATTAACCGAATTAACTAGACACTGGTGCTGCCTAACCAGTCCACTAGGCAGCAGTATACAGTAAGGATACTGCACTGAAGGCTGTTTGCACCACAGTTGACCTCTTCGTTAAAATGATTAGTGGTGGCACTGAGTTCATGACCGAGCAGAGGAGATGTATTTGAATTGTGCTTAAAAAGTGTGACTTGCTGGTGATTTGTTATTGAATAAGTAAGTTATTTAAATTGCCCCCATTTTGAAAACGTGGCTTTCTTAACTCTTGGAGTATGTTGTTCAGAATCCCTTTATTAGTCCCACAGAGGGGAAATGTATATTGTTACAGCAGGATAGATAGAGACGATAAGTAAAAATATCACACTGTTAGATAAAAGGGTATGCATATAGTATTTAAAATGAAATAAAATAAAAGGAAAATGTACAGAAGTACACATTCAGGGTAAATAAGTAAGTTAGCAGTACTTGTAAATTCAAATAGGAGCAATATTGCCGTATACTGTGTGGTAGAGGGTTGATTGCAGTGGTAAAATAAAATAATATATTTAACATCTCCTGCTGATTCTTGTTGGAATGGACAACCTATAAGTAGCAGCCAGTAGTAACTATTAGCATAATAAGTTATGTTGCACAACAGTGGTTGACATGAGACATTGATTCTAAATATAAACTGTATATGCAATTTTGCTTAAAAACAATGATTGTAAACTAATGTTGAGTCAAGGATTTCTCACATTAGCTTAGTGAGCTAAAGGCCTAAGTAAGAATAAACAGTCTCTTTATGTAAGTAGCACTTAAAATGTTTGGATTATTCATAGCTAACGTACTTGAAGAATTCTTGCTGTTCTGAATTTGTATTCTCTTGGTTAATTGCACTTATTGTGAGCTGAGAGAAAAGAGGGGTCGATACCTGATAGTCTTATTGATTGATACATTTTATTTCGAAAAAGTAAAATAAATAAGAGAAATTAAAACAAAAAATTACATTTACAACAACAACAACAACAACAACAACAACAGCATTAGCAACATAAACAGTCCCACATCTAGTGTTCGAAAAGGAGTGAGAAGAAGTATAATTTATTTAATCTCACCCCCTTGTCCCTAAATTATTTATTTATAATCTATAATCTGCAATAATTATCATTATTATTCATTATTATTGTTATTATTATTATTATTATTATTATTATTATTATTATTATTATTAATCTGCTTTACCTGTTGATTGACATATATACATATACACATATGTACACACATACATACATAGTCTCTTATATTCTTGAAATTAAGTCAAACTAGCAAGTGGACTTCGCCTGTTTTCAAGCTCAATAATCAATTTTGGAGCTTGAGTTTTAAACCCGCATGGATAAATTGTTTTAAAGGGGATATTAGTTTAAATCAATTTCAAAAAATGAACATGATTGAAAGTTCTGAAAAACTGTAACGAATGAGATTGTAGTTTCAAAATTCAACCAGTAAGTTGACCATAAAGAGTCCCATGAAGAAAGTTTGATGAAAACCTTTTTAACAAAAACAGGTGTTTATCAGGCACGGAGGCTCTATTTCAATACACTATAGATTTGCATCACGGGAAGTGTGGTATGCAACCTTGTTCATGTAAAAATCATATCTCTGCCCCAACAGTTATTTTAAAATAGTTATTTGAACTATCTTAATATATTTATAATTAAAAAAAACAACATTTGGTACAGCCCCCCCCCCCCCCCCCAGGTAAAACGGCTCTGGTCACTTCTCTGCAGGTGGAGGATTCAGGGGGCGTAGGAAATATAAAAGAGACCCTAGAACATCTCAGCTGTTCACCTGTGGGGCGTTCAGATGCGTCCTCCTATCAGGAAACATGCCAACATGATGAGGAAATGCAGGATGTTTGTGTTGCACTGAGATGTACGTAGCTGTGTAATTTTAATTAAGTGCAATAATTTTCTCCTAGATTGAAATTCAAGAGATTTCATATAAAGCTGTCTTCATGACTCTTAAAGAAAATCCCTGGTGTTTGTTGACGATACCTCTGTTGAATCAGAATATTAATCATTTGAACCAGCACACTTAAATGTCAGTGCACATATAATTTGATCTCTTTTGAGTGCCTGTGATTATAGAACAAGATGTTTTTGAACTGCTGCTACTGATGTTCACACATATAGATCCTGTGGGTTGTGTATACACTGGATACACACACGCACACACACACATGACATATTACACATTTGGCCTAAAGCTAAGTCAGCTTCCTGTTGAATGCATTCCAAAAAAACGGCTTCATATCCGCTCTATCCGTAAACATAACTCATCTCATGAGAAAGACATGTGTCTGCCGCAGAATAAACTCTCTTCCACAAGGTATGCTTTTAGACTTTGTGACACATTGTGTGCTAAAAATCCGTGGCTGCACCTAATCCTTCGTGAGCATTTCAAGTCGTAGTGAGATTAACCTGAGATGGTCCGGCTGATTCCCTGGTTCAGCACCACTCTGAGAGAACAACCCCCAGTCTGTATTAAGTTATTAAAGCAAGGTAACGACTAATATAGAGGTCAGCCATCTGCCTGGAGTCTGCAGTTCACAATATAACATACCCCTAATCAACTAATGTAAGCTATCTTGTTGCATGAATCAGTGCTTACGTGACCGTGTGACTGTGCACTTTGTTCAAATCCAATGTTGCCTTTCACGTCAAAGTAAAAATGTCAAACGTTCCTTGCAGATCTTTCAAATATAAGCCGTGTGTATAAGGCTTTATCACATGCCCTGGTGGTAATGATAATGCACTCGTATGGGATTGGAGTGGTGTGGTAGTAGTGGCGTGTCTTTAGTCTGCGGATAGTTCACGGCTCATCGTATTGATTGTGTGTAAAGCCCCTCAGCCCAGATACTTAGATTAACAGTTTAACCCGATTTGTTTGGAGAAGGCTTTCACGGAGCATTTGGGTAAAACGGATAAAGAGCTTTGGACACATTGTTCATGAAGCTGCTACAATATATTTCATTTATTTGTATAGTTTTTTAGAACAAATTAACCCTAACCCTGTTTATTTTTGTTTACAATGAAGCAGAATGTAATCATTATTGCAATACTAACCAAGACTTGTACAGTATTTTGAATGATAATTCAAGAATTAGGGTTAGGTATGTACAAGAAAAATGTTCGGGGAAGATTGATATGTCAGAAGGATGTCAAAAGAAGCAACTTCAGAATCAGAACCCGTTAAGTAGGTTTCTACATACATTTCTGTACAGGATTTTTGCTGTTGTGTATAAAGGTGCTTTCATGAACACAGAAAGAGCAATGACATTTAAAATAAGAGCGAAAATAATTGCAAAACTATTATGGAATAAAGAAAGGTAAGCATAAATATATAACAAAAAGAAATACAATGAAAATATCACAAATTACTGTGAAGAAAATATGTACAATACATTTGATTTCAATGTGGAATTAAAAGTGTTTGTAATTTGCAAAAATAAAAGAATACAAAAATGTTCACAGTACAGAGTATAAGAAAGAGTTTGGAGAGTTCAGATACCAGGATAATTGCAAAGATTGCATTAACGTAACGCATTTAATAAGAAGAAATATCTTCTCATGGCATCATAATAGTAAATGCAATGGGGGAAATTGGTGACAGTCCTGTTTTAGTTTAACCAATTGCAAACATTCCAAACAATTGTACAATTTAACAGATAATCATGTCAAGTAAACAAAACCGCAAACAACATCTTTGTTCTTTTCTGGTAATCTGCTCAGAAGATGTCTGTGTCTTTCTCAGAACACAATTTAAACCCAACTCAAGCACTTAACATTTGGGCGCTTTCTGTCTGTCATTATCTGAAGTCATGATGATAAAGCATTACCTGCACATTAGAGAGAGGAAGTGAGGTAAAAAAGAGCACTCAAATCCAATTATTAGCAATCTGTTTTGGCTCAGAACGTTCTGCCACTACGATCCAACCATTTATGGCTGCTGAAAAAACAAAAAGATGTAAAGTTTAGAGCTGATTTTCAGTGCAGGATTGGAAACAGCAACTGTGTGTAATACATTTAAATGATGCCAAAAAAGTGACACTGAGAGATAACACAAAAAACTAAGATGCACAAACTGTCAGAATGTGTGCATTATTACAATTGCTCAATTTTGATTTCTGAGAAAATGATTTGTGTGTTCCCATCGGCAAAAACACGTGGGTTTGCTATCCTGGCTCCAAGATGGTGGAATGAGCTCCCCATTGACATCAGGACGGCAGATAGCTTACACACCTTCCGGCGCAGACTGAAAACTCATCTCTTTCGACTCCACTTCGAGCGATAGAACTTTTAACAAAGCACTTATATACTAATAAAGGACTGGCTTATCTAAAGCCAGTTGAGTAGCACTTGAAATGTTTTGGCTCTATGAAGCCTGATGTACTTATATGATTCTGTTTTCTTCAAGGTTGTGTCTTCCTGGTCGAATGCACTTATTGTAAGTCGCTTTGGATAAAAGCGTCAGCTAAATGCAATGTAATGTGTGTCTTCAATTCTGGTGTTTTGGCCACTTGTGAAAGACAATCTTGTTCTCCCCGGGTTCTTTAAAAATAAATAGAAATAAAGGCCATGCTGTCACACACAATGACCGTAGACAAAAGCCCCCATGCTAGTGATCAGACAATGTAAACCAAATTAGGCAGAAAAGGAGGAGAAAGAAAAGTTAGGTGGTGGTATTTGTGTGTCGCTGGGCTTTTAATTATTTACCACCACACACATCCATGTCATTTGGCAGAGGTCTGTTAGTGTGACGACAGCCTGTTTCCAATCAGGCGTTGATTTCTGCAACATGTTTTTCTTCAGAGAAACGAAAACAGAGTTCATCTAGATGTTGAAATAGGGTCTGGATATTTTTGTGCAATTGCTTCTTTTTTCTTTTTTTTTAATACTTAGAATAGTTGACATGCAT